TCTATCCAACGCTATAGCCACGTCGTTCATAGAGTCATAGATGCAGTGTACCTTGGCATCGGTGGGGGTTGTCGAGATGATGCTGTGGCCGCCAAACGGAAACTGCAAAAGGAGCTTCTTGTCGCCGGCCATCGTTGCATTCTCAATCACCGCGTACTCAGGAATCGTCTGAATGTCAATCGCCCCCGAGAGCAAAAGCGCGCTCGCGCCGGTCGGCACCGCTGCCGTCTTGTTCCAGTACTGGTCATGGCTGTACGCGAACGTTTGCTTTGGCGCGTCGAGCCCCAGGCCGTGGCAGACCGGGTCCGAGTGGCCACGGAACGCACAAAACTTGAAGATGTTGGCTTTGGTTCCATCGATGGGTGAAGCGCGCCACGTGATCTTGGCGGCGTCATCACGGAAGCGCTCGAACGACGGCGACGGCAGCTCCCAGATCTCGTTGAAGACAATGTTGTTGTAGAGAAGGTCATCGCTGGCCGACTCGCCCGTCTCCGTGTTGCCCGGTACAATGTCGCCGCGGTCGTCACTCGTCTCGTCAGTGGACAAGCCAAGAAGACCGTGCAAAAAGCGATCGTTCGAGTCAAACTCCTTGACGCACTGCGCAACGCGGTAAAGAATGGCCGGGATCAAGTTGCGCTGGGTGTAGCTGATGATCATATTGGAAAACATGCTCCCGAAAAAGTCCGACGGAAGACCCTTCGCCGCGTAAATCGCCTGCGCGCACGCCGTGTCATTGGCATCGAGCTTCGTGAACAAATCGAACGCAAACTTTTTCGAATTGGGGCCAATCTTGGACGAGCACACAGGATCGCGGTCGCAGAGGCCGTAGTAGGTTGTTTCTAAACAGAAATAGATCATAACCCTACACCTCACTTATCCCAATCGTACCAACTTTGGCCACGTCACGGTCCCAGTCGCTGTACGGGCTCAACGGGCTCTCGGCGAGCATGCTGTCAAGGATGTAGCCCTTGACGTTCTTGGGCGCGAGGTGCATCAAACGCTCAACCAAGTAGGTACCGTAGCTCACGCCGTAGACGTACACATCGTCGTTGGCGAGCATCGGGCTCTCGATGATGGACGCGAGGTCGGTCGCAGCGCTTGTGACCGAGAAACCCTTGGGCGCGTCGGCACCTACGACATATCGTCAGTGGCACGTCGGTGCTACAGTGCGACACTACCATAGAGGTCCTTGAGCTTTTGGAAACAATTCGAGTAGGCGGCAGCAGCGGTCGCGTCATCGCGCATGACGTTCTCGTCGGTCATCTCGGGACAGTGGGCGGTGAGCGGCGAGCTGCGACCGACGCCGCGGTGGTCCATCGTGTAGAGGCTCGTGGTGCCGTTGGCGGCCGCGAATATTTCGACCATCGAGCCTTCCACTACACACACAACGCATAAGACTCTCATTGCGCAGGGGCGGTAGTGTACTGGCATCGGACGGCGCACCGGGACCGCCTTGCATCAGCCACACGGCCTTGGCTGGCGTCGTCGGGCGGATTGCGGGCATGCGCTTGAGGAAGACGCTGAGCGTCTTGTCGCTCGTGCACACGCCCGGGTAGCAAACCGGCACTTGAAGTTCGAGGCACTCGACCGTGGCGTTGCGAGAGCGCGGGTAGTTGTCGATCGAGTACGTCTCATTGCCGACACGCGAGAAGAGCGGGCATTTGTGCCATTCGCTGGCGGCGACAGCAGTGGAGAACGTGAGCGCCAATGCGAGGTGACTAGGACGAAGCATGATTGAAAATGAGGCATTAGAAGAGACGAAAATTCGAGCTTGCACTTGCAGTGGCGAGGCACTCGACATATGACGGCCAGTTTGCAGTTCTCACCGAGCTGTACTTCGGCGACGATCGGCGTTATTGGTGGTGCTGTAGGGGGTCACAATCCTGCACGGGTTGTCTCGACCGCCGACACGCATTGGGAGTTGGGGGTTTTGCGCACCCACATACACCTACTACCTCGTGATGTGCACGATTCAATCGTTCGATGTACGTGCACGCCGCGACCTATACAAGCTACGTCAACTGCAACGTCACGGCGACAGAGAAGAGTCCTCCTCATTGCAGTCCGCAACTGCGCTATGGAGTACACAATGTAGATATTAGAGTATGACAATAGCACTGCTATAAGCAAACACACTACTCCATTGTGCTATGTGCTAACGTGGACCAGATGGCAAGGACCTTGGTCTCCGTGTCTCATGCTGACCGTTGTGACTCAATTGACGACACATTGTATTCAGCACGATGAATCTTGTTTTCGGTATGCCCAATAGGGTTGAGGTTACTACTGGCGACGGTTGTTCTCATAGAGCAAAAGAGTTGCTGCCGATAGTTATATGACAGCTAGCGTGCGGGCTAGCGTGTGCCAATTTGAAGCATGAAAAACTGAATGTTCACAACGACCTTGGTTTTTGATGTGTATAATCAAAAATCATGTCCTGCACAATACTACAAACATAGCAATGACGCTCTCGTTGGCACCATGCATTGACACTGCCGTCGCCAACAAGGGCGCGTGTTATTGTGTTGCGAGCAACAATTTCGATGCCACAGTGGCAGTACGCTGCTTGAGAAATACCGATGTGAAAGTTTGCCGCGTTGGGTGGTGGTGTAGCTTCAAGTCAGGCAAATAAATATGATTGAACGGGCTGTGGTGCACATTTTCACTTGGATAAGCAAACTAGTACATTACAATATGCAATGTACATGTTGCAATCAATTCCAGTCCACAAAATGACAATATTGTGTGTATTTTCTGACATCGACAATGAACTGTGTAGTTGAATCAAAA